AAATAAAATCTTTAAAAAAAAAAAAAAAAGGAAAAGCATCCTGGGATCCTCCCCCAACCCCACTATCCATTCCCTAAAATGCGGCCAAGGAGCCAGCAGGTCCCTGAGAACCACCCGACCTCAACCATCTCCCTGCCCCTGCCGGGTCCTGCCTCTGACACACCTCAGCTGTGGCTGTCTGCGAGGGGCCAGGTGCCTTCGTGGCATCTCCGGCCTCGACTAGTTACTGGGCAGCAGAGCTTGGAAGAGGCAGAAACCGCCAGCCCGTTCCACCGCCGAAAAGCCTGCGGGCTGCCATCCAGCACTGCATGGCCAGGCGCCCCATGGCCAATGGCCACTCCCGGCTGAAGTCCTCACCTTCCCGCCCCGCGGTCGGGGCAGCTGGGGTGGCTCTACGTGGGAGCCCGGCACAGGGCCCGGCCACCCGCCTGAACCCCGGCTTGCGCAGAGCGCTGCACACCACTCGCTCAGTAATTTCACGCTACACCGCCTGGCAATGTAAGCGTGGAGGCCCAATCTAAGGCGGCACTTCCCAAATGTCACTTGTTTGTGAACACATGGCTGAACCCAAAATTGCTTTTAATATCTGGGCAGTCCCTGCTGGCCCCACTGCGGTTCCAGTGCTGACAGCACCTCCAGGACAAGCCTGCAATCTTGTCCAGAGCTTACAACTCAATCGCAGCTCCCACCGTGGCCTGGGCTCTCGGCACACACAGGCCCCACAGAATTCTCCATGCACGGTCTCACCGTCCACAGTGCCCCATGGTCACGTGAGCAAAACCACACGCTCCAGGACATTCCATCATTCCTTTAGCTCAAAAGAAAAAGTCCTGGGGTGCCTGGGTGGCTCAGTTGTTAAGCGTCTGCCTTCGGTTCAGGTCATGATCCCGGGATCCTGGGATCGAGTCCCACATCGGGCTCCCTGCTCAGCGGGGGGCCTGCTTCTCCCTCTCCCACTCTCCCTGCTTGTGTTCCCTCCCTCGCTGTGTCTCTCTCTATGGAATAAATAAATAAAATCTTTGGGGAAAAAAAAGAAAAAGAAAAAATCCTGATGCTCCCACCTCTTCTCTTTCAGCGAAGCCCAGCATCTCTGCCAAAGATAGCACCCCCCAGGATAATAATCCCGACACTCCTAACCCCCCAAGTGCCTCTCCAATCTCTTTCCTGCAAAGCTCAGTTCCTTTTCTGAACTGCCCTGAAACAGCGAAGCTAGAAAAGTGAGTGGTTAGAAACATAAAGGGGAGCCCATCCGTCTAGCCCTGAGCTGCCCACCAGAGGCAGGACGCAAGCCACCTGTGTAATCTTCGGTCCAGTCTCCACACTCAAACCATGAAAAGAAACAGGCAAAATTCACTTTAATGATATATTTGGTTTAACCCAATCTATCCAAAAACATCGCCTACATAACCAGCACGAACCAATTATCTGCGTGATATTTCATGTCGCTTGTCATGCACCGAACCTCGGACATGGCATGTGTTACCCCCACAGCTCAAGGCCACGACACCCACACACGGCCAGTGGCCTCCGTGCCGATCCCCACGGGGTCACGACTGCTGGGTCTTGTGAGAAACCCTCCAACTGCCCCGGTCCTGGGCGCTGACTTGGAACTGGCCAAGCGATTCCTCGGAGGAACCCCCAGGCTCCAGCTTGGGAGGCTGATGGGAAGCACCCTGTTTTCACACCGCACTGGCCCTGCTGGAGGGGGTTCTCCTGTTCCTCGTGCCCCAGTGCTAGAGAGACACCCATGAGTAACTGGACTGTCTGCAGTGGAGAGAGGCCAATGGGCTGAAACGCTGGGCCAAAGCCTGAGCCCAGCCTGACGGGAAGAGCACACCACCTTCTGCAGAGGCCGGAACAGGGGCCCAGGGCTGTGGTGGCAGTCCTCGGAGGAAGGCCCTTGGTACAAGCCTGTTCCCACCAACAGCCCCTCCTCGCAGCAAGGCCCTCTGAGACCCAGAACAGCAAATTTCCAGGAAAAGAATCAGAGGAGTCCTCTTGCCCTTCAGTGATCTCCATGGACGGCCCAGACACCAGGGCCCAGAGAGCAGGGTCTGCTGGGGAAGGAAAGCCCCCGGCTGCAGGTCGCAGGCCCCATGCCTCCTCCCTGCTCGTTCCAGGGGAGGAACATTCTGGGGATGAGTTCACTGAGGATCCCAGAATCAGACCCTGGCGGAGAGACCAGGCCCCTGTCAAGTCTAAGCGGAAGCCACAGAGGCCCTGGTCCGAGGGAATGGGCTGAGAGGGGCTGACCCCCCATTTAGACCCCTTCACAGGCTCTGCAGGCACTTACCTGAGTGGCCACCTTGCCATAATCAATCCACCGCAAAGTGGCAAAATTGGTAGATTCTGCACAGTTGAACCCGTGATTGAATCCAGCATGGTAGCCATAGGGAAACGTGATCATGAACTCCCCGGCTTCCTGTGTGATCTGAGGAGGAAAGAGCCGACAGGTGAGCAGGAGCGAACAGGCGAGGGGCAAGGCCTGGAGTCAGGAATGGCGGTTACCACGCGGCTCCCCTACCGGAAGCAGAGCCGACCTGGGGCAGGCAGAGGCTGGTGGCCGACGCCACCAGGAGCCACCAGCCAGCACAGCAGGGGCACGTGGACTCAAGGATTTCCCAACAAGTGCCAGGGAGCCCCAACTTCGGCAGCCAATGGACTTCTGCCCAGTGGAAGGTGGCTCCGCCTAAGTCCAAGGGCTCCAGCCAATTTCCCACGGGGCAGTAGGTGTGGCCGTGGCCTGGACAAGAGCTGCCACCAGCCCCGGGCGGGGCCCCAAGGTGACCGACGCATGGGGCTGTTGAGTGCCACGCCTCCAGGCACTCTCGGGAGGGAGGGGTTCTCCTGGTCTGGAGGCAGGTGGTCGTGTCCCGCCTGCTGTCCACTGTAGGATGTTCGGAAACGGCTGGCATCAGCCACAGTGACCCCCCCCCAGCACAGGGCGGGGCGTGCTCTAAGTACAGGGTCTCGCCCTTGTGAGGAAAATAGGTCTAGCTGCACACACGAAACATTCCTGGAAAATAACCTAAGTCCTCTGGCTGTCATAAGCCTGGATCTGTCCCTTATATCCCAGGAGGTGGCTCCTTCCAAGTGAGGTCAGAGAGGCCGGAGAAACGGCGTGTTATAAGGACACAATGTCAAGGTCGGAACTCTGTCAAATGAGCTGATGATGGTTCCAGACCTATTCAAATGGTCTGATCCAGCCTCCAAAACAGAGACCCCAAACCAAGGAGCTGGGTGTGAGTGAGTGACAGGGAAGAGGGCCCACGAGGAGCCCAGACGGAAGCTTCTGGAACTTCCACCCCAAGGCCTGGAGGAAAAGGTGGGGGCTGTAGCCTCCCCCCCGGACTCCCTCTCTCCTTCCCCCCGGGGTGGCACTGAGCCCTTCACCCAAGCACTCCAGAAGATGTGGGATCCAAAAGAAGGACAACAAGTTAAAGTGGTCACTGTCCCAGAACATGAGAGGTGGGGCTGGAGGCCCAATTCACGGATGTGGAAACCAAGGCTGGTGGCGAGAGAGTAACTCTGAAGTCCTTGACTGAAGATTTGGTAGAAGCCACAGATTACAGGTTGTCTGGAGTTGGGAGTAACCAGCGCCCCGAACAGGAACGGACCACCGCAGGCAGCCCCCCACCCAGCAATCCCCCCACCGTGAGATGTGCCTCTGTCACTGAGGAGTACATTTCTTTCTCGGGTTTCGTGAAATGGCTTCGCACGGACTGTGCTCTTGTGTCTGCCTCTGTCCCTTCTTGCTCCTAAAGGGAGCCGCGCTGTGTAGATGTATTGCTGGGTGCTTCCCCGTCCTCTGCTGACAGACCGTGGGCTGTTTCTGGAGTGGGGCTCTGGTGAGTGTTCGAGAACGCACTGGGGCCCATCTACTTGCAGACACATGCCTGCATTCCTGCAGGGTCTCCTGGCGGTGGCACATCGGGTTCCCGAGAACCTGCCCAGCAGTTTTCTGCGACGGTCCCCCCATTCAGCATCCACGCTGCTGGTGGTGGGGAGTCCCCATCGCTTTCCTCCTCGCCGGCGCTTGGGGGTGTTCCGCCAGGTGGGCCCAGGATCTCGTGGTTTCGATCCCCTTTCTCTGAGGCCTACGACGCCTGGGTCTGCGTCCCTTTTGCAGGGACCCCCTTTTGCAAAGTGTCTCCTTCTGCCCCCATTTATCAGGTTGTTCACCTTTCTACTGTAGCTTTGTAGGAGTTCTCAGGCTTGCTAATCTTTGTTTATTCCTCCAGAGAGATGAGCAGGAATTGCTGGATTCATTTAAGTCACCAAGAAGAAGTCAGACCCTGAGGGGGTGGGGGCGTGGGGGATGGGGGGGGCGGAAGACTTCCAAAAGCCAACCACGGAGTCAAAAATCAGTCAAAACTGACACAGCCTGGAGAAAAGCCAGTCCTTAAGAACATGATATTTTTCTTTTCAAGTAATGAATTGTACCAATCAAGGGAAGTCAGTGTGCATTAAGTTATATTTTAAAATTCCTGTCCAAGTGACAGGCGTGTGGGGGATGAAGCCCATGCACAGCAGGAGACTGGGGTGGGGAGAGAACACTCAGTGTCCCAGAGGCGCCAGCAACCCCCCCCCGCCCCGGCCACAGCAAGGATTCTCTGGGCTGGCTCCGTGCACCGGGCTGTGTGAAATGGGTGGTAAATACAATTAAAATTAAAATGTAGGGATTTTTTTTTTCTTTGAAAACGTAATTACTCATTTTCTTATCCTTTTTGAGCTGACCTTGGACAGCATCATCCAGCTCTCCCACGGAGCTGGCTTGCCTGCTCCCCTCCCTCCCTCCCTCCACCAGGGTACTGCAGGCACGAGGCCTGGCATGAGTGGGGAGTCTCCCGGGCACGCTGCGGGGTCCCCGCGGGGCCAGCTCTGAGAGCCTGGGTGTGAGGGGAGGTGCCTCCGGCCCCCACTCGGGCAGACCACAGTGCCTCGCCTTCCCGCACGACCCCTCCATAAACCAAGGCCTAGAATTGATGTGCTCAGGCCGGCAAGGAGATGATGCTCCTGTCACAAAACCGACATCCTGGTGGCTTCGTCTCAAGCCCACGGTGTCCATCCTCCGTGTCACCGCCGTCCACATTATCCCGACAATAAATTAGAAGGCACTTGGGATGATGGATAGGCCGTGTGGCAAAGTCATAAGCAGAGCAAGGAACGCCAGCCCACACGCCAGTCATGGAGGAAGCCTGAATTCAGCTGCTTCCCCCAGCGCTCGCAGGATAAATGAGGAAGTCCATGGCAGATTACAGAAATACACACTTTTAATTATTAAAAAGCTCTGCTATTGATCTGCTTTTTCTTCTAGAAGTAAATACCATTACAAAGATTTATAAGTGGAGTGTGGGAGTCACTCCCCCCGGGGCTGCCAGGAATTCAGATGAGGGGACCCACATGGACCCGGACGGGGCATTCATCTGGAGCCTAACGCTGCTCCCTGCTCACTGCTGGCCCAGCCTCGGCCTTCGCCCCGCAGGCCCGTGGGCAGCTGAGGGCCGGGCTGGTGGCAGGGGAGCACGGCCTCTGAGAGCCAGCTGCCCCAGGGCCAGGAGGCCACCGCCTTCGGGTGCTTTCAGGCATTTCGTGCACCAAGCACAGTGCCGTGCGGAGAGCGACGCAGGGGAGGGGACACCTCTGACCGGCCCCTCTCTCGCTCTCTCTCTAGGAAGCACCGCCTGGGAGAACGCTCTCCACAACCCACAGGAAAGCAAGTCCTTCTCACTCCTGGGAGCAATGCCGTGTCTGTCCGTGAGGTTCCTGGTAACCGGCGGTGTTCAAATCACAAGACGAGGAGAGGAGACGGAGGCATGGAAACCTGCATTTCTCAGGGCAGAACGTGCCGCGCTCTGATGGACGAGCCCGACAGCGAGAGCGAATCCCCGATCTGAGCACTAATGCTGTGGGCGATGTGATTGAAATGTCAGAAGCAATTTCCAACTCACTGACACTCCTAGCAAGAGTGCGGCATGAGGATCTGATTGCAGAACTTGCTCCCGTACCCGACAAATGCTCTTGTATGGAGACCCTCAGGAACCAGAATCCCAGGAGGGGCCTCCTCTCCCTGGCCTGCCATCACTACCCAGCCCAGAGTCTGCTCGGGCCTCTCCGGAAGATTCTGGGCACATCCCTCTGGTCCAGACCACCCTGGGGACACAGGCCTAGACCTTCCCATCCAGGAGGCTTGTCTGCAGGGAAAGGCTTGCCTGCGGTGGATACCTGCCGAGCCCCACCCCAGGGCAGAGCCCCCAATGAAGGCCCAGACCTGGGTGCTGGCCTTCCACCCCCCACCCCCCCACCCTGACTGCCCAGCTTCAGGCCTCATTCATCACAGCCTTTCCCAGGGACAAGCGGAGCACTCCCTGGACCAGCAAACTGAATGAGTTCACAGTCTCCACGCTGTGGGAGAGCCAGATATTTCATTTCTAAACAGGTATTCATTCTCGCAAAGGACGTCTGCAGTGGGCCATGGGGTGCACCCAGAGATCAGGACGAAGCGGGGGGCGGAGGGGCCTGCCCAGTTGTCCTGTGGCTTCCTGGGAAGTTGGCAGTAGCTACCCATCCACTGCAACCCAACCCTGTAGGACCCTGAGGGCGGGGGGGGGGGGCAGCCAACAGGCACACAGGGCAGGGGACTGAGCGTGGGAGTGGGAGTTATGTAAGGCAAGACCCCACCCAACTCTCCCCTCTTCCATCCTCACTCCCCACCACAGTAGAGCTGGAGGCTGACTGCCCAGCCAACCTGCCCTCCCCCCTGGCTTGCCAGTGTTCTAGAACCTTCTGCAGGCTTAAGAAGCCAGCTTCCTGGGACATTGGTGGTCCCCTCGGCCGGGGCCCCAGCAGCCCCTACGTACCCGGCTGAACGGGATCCCATACTTCTTGAGGATGATGGGCGAGATGAGGGTCATCTTGTGCCGCAGGAAGGCATCACAGCCCTGGGAGCTCCCGGGGAAGAACCCTGGAGCAGAAAAGATGGGCATCAGTCTGGCGGGCCAGAGCTGAGCAGGCCTCTTTTGGGCAGCATTCGCCTCCCATCAGGCCTGCGGCTCCAAGGGAACAAAATGCACAGGACCCTGCCGCTTAGTGAGCCCAGAGCCAAGGGTGGGCCAGGGCCATCTGTGCAACAAAGTGTACCCCCAAAGTCACAGATGGGGTGTAGGCCAGGGCACAGCTGCACAGAACTCCCCTCTGAGCACCCCCCACATAAAACCCGCCACGTGGCATGCGCCCAGTCGCTCAGCCAAGGCAATGGTGCAGCCGGGGAGACGGGACACGGGAGCAGATGCTCTCAACCCAGGGAGCCGTGAGCAGTGCCCCCCCCCACAACCAAGTCTGCAGCAAAGAGGGAGGGGGCCCCCTATGTGGGCACGGGCTCCCCTGGGCTCTTCCCACACGTGGTCCCCACGGCAGGCGGAGGCGGAGGCTCCGCCTTCCAACTGACCGTCCGAGGCCCATGGTGTGCTGGGAAAGGGGCAGAGCAGCCTGGGCCAGGCCTGACCATCTGCTACACACAAGGTGGTTCACGTTCGGCTATGCTTCCTGTCTCACGGCATATACCACATAAGTCACTTAAAACAATGTTCGTCAAGTGCACGGAAGGCAGACCATCAGCTCTACTTGCTCAGAAAATGTGTTTCACTAACTCACTCATTGGCTGAAGCTCCCACCAATGACATGTAGGTCTTGAGGTTAAAGAAAAGCCCCGGGATTCCATGCAAAGGTGCTGGACTCCTCACCCGAACCGTCACCGAGAGGCGGCCAAGAAGGGCTGCCTCACAAACTCGGCAAGGTCTGGGATGTGCCACAGCAGCAGCTCCCTCCAGGACTGACCCCCAGGAACAACCGGCCTGGGGACCCTCCCGGGGGCCGACCCAGACCGTGGACACCCCCGACGGGTGGCCAGTTAGAGGGCACACTCGCGTGTGTATGGATGTGCTGTGTACAGACACAGGGCCTCACCCACACACCTGCTGGTGGCGGTGGGGGGGGGGGCTTCTAAGCGACAGTGTTGGGGGTGGGGGCTGGGAAGCCCGCCCGCAAGGACACGACTGTAACTGTGAGGTTCTAGAAAGTGCGAGGGATTACTGAATCCAACGACTTTCCTCGGTGCTAAAAGTGTTTCAATTAGAGTTATAGCCCCTGCTGCCCGGCCCGCGGCCTCTCTGCAGTCCCTCTTTTTAATGCACAGTTTAAGTGGCTCTCATTAAAGTTCTAATAAAGGCGCACATTTCAAGTGATTAGTACCAATAATGCGCCAACACATTAATGCTCTCTCCGTGGGCTCCACGACTCTCCCAGCGAGCCCATTTGGAGCTCAGCTATTCATTTTCCATATTCATCGCAAACTCATTCCATCCATCTCAATAATGGAGTCTGTGACGCATGTCCCCCAAAAAGTTTGGAAGGGACACGGAGGAGGGCAGTGACTCACTTGCCCTAGAACCTCTCCCATCCTCCCTCTGAGGAGGGGCGCAGGGGAAGCATGAGGCCAGCCCTCCCACCAACGCCACACCTTCCCACCCTCCCCCAGGGCAGACAGCCCTGGTCCCCGTGCCGAGGAGTGACTTAATGAGTCCACACTGATCACGAAGCAACGATGAGGTGGCCCCCACAGGCCTCTAGCTCCTGGCTCCTCCTCTCCCAGCACCCCGCCCCCCGAACCTCCCGCATGTGCCCAGAAAGCAAACCAGGCCAGATCTAGGGACAGCAGGGCCTCGGGGACAGGAAGGACGTGGGGAGGCGGCCCAGCTCCAGGGAGAGTAGCCATGGCCCCAAAGGATCCCGGGTCTAGCTTTTCTAGGTGGCACTCAGATCATCCAAGACTTTTCTTTTCTGATAGAACAGGCACAGAGAGGAAGAACACGCTGGGCGCGGCTAACTGCAAAATCCCAGGGGACACGAAGCAGAGACGTAGACAAGGGCGGGTGATGCCAGCCCTGTGGTCACCAGAGAGCACCCGGGTGGACCATTCAGTGGCGCTTTCACCCATGGCTGTGTAGGGGAGAGAAGCTCAACAGTGGTCCCCCAAGATGTCCACGTCCTGCTCCCCAGAACCTGGGACTATGTTCTCTTCCGAGTGGCAGGGGCTCCACAGATGGGATTAAGTGCAGGACCCTGAGATGGGGGCCCCAGTGTCACCACAGGGTCTCCATGGGAGCGAGGCAGAGGGAGGCCATGTGACCACAGACCCGGCCACAGGCTGGAGCCAGTGCCTCTGGAGGCCGGGACGGGTGGGAAAGCCTGCCCTGAGCCACAGGAGGAGCCAGGCCAGCCCATGCCTGGGTTTAGCCCAGCGAGGCCCATGTTGGACTCCTGACCTCCAAACACGAGGGAATGAGCCTGGGGGGTTAATTTGGGCTCTTTTAGGACAGTTTCAGGTTCACAGCGGAAACAGAGAGAATCACGCTATTTGGAGCCACTGACTCCATGGTGATTTGTGACAGTGGCAACAGGAAAAGAAAACAACGGGGAAAAATATTTTTTAACTTATATTTTGAAATTAGTATTTGTAGTCTAAATTTGCATTTTAAAAAAATACGGTGGGAAAACATTTTAATTTGGTTTTTATTTTAGATCTTGATAAATAAGAGAAATCGCTCTTTGCTAGGACCATGACTGGCATTTCCACGGTGAGAAGCATGCTCCTGATAGTGGGGTTCAGCCCTGCCCGTGAAGACAGAGTCCGGGTTTCCAACAGAAAGGTGAACACGACAACAGGGCCTGCCTCGGGGCTGGGCAAGCCTGGGCCTGGGGGTCTGGCCCCACTCTCTGACAAGCCTCCCCCTGTCCTCATCCTCGGGGAAGCTGTGTGTAGCAGCCGTTTGCTGAACAGATGGGCAACTCTGGGGGCAGCTAGGACGGGAGGCCCATTTTCCAGAAAGCTCCACCATTTCCATCTCCAAAGTCAACACGGGCAGGGGAAGAGCACGGTGGGCATTCTTTAGGGGAAGGCATGAGGAAGGGACAAAGGACAGCAGCAGGACATGAGGGAGGCTGCACCAACACTGAGTGATGGCTTCTGGAAGATTTCATGGCTGCCAGGGGAGAGGGCTCAGGCTGCCTGTCACCGCCACCCAGAGGGTCAGGGTGATCGGATGGGCCCCTGCACTGTCCCAGCAGCTCCTGAACAACGGGGCCGGCTCCCCAACCACCCCGCCAGCCTGGGGGCTGCCTGCCAGTGAGGGCCAGACTCCTTGGGCCAGTGGGGTCTCTTCACATTGTCCCAGGCGCTTACAGCCACCTGGCGTCAGAACAGAGAGCAGGGCACTGTGATGGGGAGCAATGTGGGAACCCCACCAGCCCCTCTGTCGGGGTGGTCGGGGGCCTCAGCGTCACCCAGTTGGGGGTCTGGCTTGTCTCCAAGGATCCTACGTCCTGAGGGTCTGCCTTTACCCCAAGTGGTCAGTGCCTCCTCTCCAGACACAGCCTGGGACCCTCCCTGACAAATCCCCTCAGCCCAAGAGACCCCTGAGGGGCTGCTGGAGGGGATGTCTGCAGAGGGAGCCCAGGGACACAGCCCGCGCACACACAAGCAGACAGCCTGCGGTCACCATGCAGCTGCGGGGCACAATCACTGGACTGCTCGTTTTCCAGACTAAACGCAGACTGTAAGACCTAGAGGAGGGTGTGATGCGGCACCAGGCGCCGGGAGGAAGACAAAAGAACGTGGCTGCCCTCTCCGGCCCGCGGGAGCCTGCAGTCACATCTGGCAGCTCCGTGCTAACAACCCGGGAAAAACAGAGTTGAAAGCAATGGCATCCTGTGCATCGTTCACAATGTGACAAATCCTATGGGGGGGGGTGGCACAGCAATCTGATCACGAGTGGGAAAGGAAATGGAAAAATCAGACAGTGACATCTTCCGGCACGCCATCACACCCAGAGATGGAAACTCGCACAAAGAGGGAGACCCAGGACCACGGGGCTGCCGCCCCCACCCCCCGGCGCCTGCCCGCCCGCAGCCCAGCCCCCAGCCCAGGGGCGCGGACACCTACCGATGGCCAGCCGCTCCAGGCGCTTGCCGTGCTCAGGCGGGATGGCGTACCTACGAGAGAAGGGAGGCACGTCAGACGCGACGTCGTGTGGCCACCACGCATCTGAGGGGCCCCGGGGCTGCGGCCACGGCCTCAGAGCAGAACTGAGCCGCAGCCACCGTGGGTGTTGTGAGAAGGGTGAAGGACAGCGGGGAGGCTGTCAGGGCAGGGACTCACACGGAAGGCCACGGTCTGGGGCCCCCACAGGCTGTGATGGCCTTCCCGGATGCCAGGCTGGACATGCTCCCCACTCAGTGGCACTTAACGTTTACTCCATGAGGCTTAAAAAGCAAAACCTAAAAAAGCAAGCACTGGACTGGAGCTGCAGGGGAGGGGCCGGAGGGGGGGCGGAGAGGAGACCGGGGAGCCCCCCCCCCCCCCCCTTGGCAGTCCCCTTGCCTCCCACTCCCCCAGCCCCGGGAGCCACCCGGGAAGAAGCCTCAGCAATGAGAAACACTTCATTTGTCACCACTGCCTAAGTTTTATTTTTACACATTTTACATTTGAAAGATTCCTGAGGCTCCGTCATAAATAAGAAAGATGGAAAGTGAAAGTTTGCAAACAGATGAAGCCAGAGTGACATCCGCTAACACTGTGTGCGGAAGCCGGCGTGCTGGGATGGCGGGGACTCTCTCCCGACGGGGACAGCCTGGGCACGGGGTGCCGAGGGGCCCCACCCAGCTGACACACCACCCCGGACTGGGCAGGATGAAAACCTCCGTGTTCAGGCACAGGCGGGCAGAACTGGCGTGTGGGTCCGTAACACCACCAAGCTATAAGCACGGGCCGTCTGTCTGTCCTAAGAAGGACGGGGCACAGTAAAGACTGTCTACACAGCTACTAGAGCATACCCGAGTCCCATCCGGGAGAAACTCCAGGGCTGCGCTTCCCGCCCAGGGGTGACCCTGCCGCCAGGGGACACGGGGCCATGTCTGGGGACATCTGCGGTTGTCACGAGCACAGGACAAGGTGCTCCTGGCACGGAGGGGGTGGAGCCGGGGATGCTGCTCAGCCCCCACAGCACCCAGGGACGCCGCGCAATGACCCACCCCACGTCCACAGTGCCGAGGGGAAAGACCCTGCGCCAGCACACCTCACATTCTAGAACGAGTCAGACATGGGGGCGCATGGTGCAGCAAGCCCTCCACCCTCCCTCACAGTGCGGGAGGCAGGATAGAAATAGCCCAGGACATGGAAGCCGGCCCAGGCTCTGCAGCTGGCTCAGTCCATTCCAATCGAGAGGGTTATTATTGCTTTTTAATAAAATAAAAGGGGGCAGGGCCAAAAGATAAGGCAGTCTCTAATCTACCAGGATAAAAATAATTAATTTCTGGGCACACCCGCAGGGCCCTGGAGGAGATGGCCCTGCACCTTCGATTCTGTTGTCGGCGGAGAATTTTCCACTGTCTGGACAAAGATGAGGTGACTCTTCTTTAAACAGCCTTTTATCACTTACATAAGGATGATAAAAGTTAATCCCAATCCAAAGCACCTTTGTGGGATTAACGTCCCCCCCAAACAAGGAAATGAAACGTTCCGGTCCTTCTGGGAAGATGCCGGAGGATGGGAGCAACTAATTTATGGCTCCAAGGCTGTGATGATTAATGCAATATCCCCAGTCTACAATGCTGCTTTCACTTAATTACCGCCTGTAATTGGGAGTTGTAAAGATAAGATTAATTGAATCTGGTGGATGTTAAAAGTTTAATATGTTGGAACGTGGCTCCTCTGTTATCAGAAAGTACAGACTGCAGGACGCTGGGCCGAGCGTTCAGAAGAGCGGCCCCTGGAGGGATTATAAAGCATGGGTGGACGGGAAGCCGACAGCCACAGGGACTTCTGGCTCCAACCGCCAAGGGAAAGCTGCCCTCCCACCACTCGGAACAACCCAGCGACAGCCTCAGGGTGCCGAGAAGCCCCAACGCCAGGGATGTGCCCCCCAGCCCACACCCCCGCCCCCGCAGGGGCCTTGGTAAGAGGCAAGCCTCAGATCTCAGCGGAAGGCAAGCAGAACTGGGGCGTGGGTCCTTCTGACACACAGCTCTGAGCGAGCTCGGACCGCCTGCCCAAAGAGGGGGGTCAGTGAAGGCTCCGTCTGTACGGCTCCTTCCGACGGCTGCGAACCCTGTGGGCTGTAGGTTCCCATGGAGCCCTCTCTCCATGCCACGGCCCTCTGGGTGCCCTGGGAGGCCCCCCGCAATGGGGGCCCAGGTGAGCTGGCTACAGAAGTAGCTAGCCTCCCAACAGGGACGGACATTTGGTCCTGGAGAAAAGTCCCCCCAGGCCCCAAGAGGCCCCCACAGCAGAGCCTCGTCATCCTGGTCACAGCCGCATCCCGCGTCCCGCCACCTGGAGGGGGCATCCCTGACTCTCGGGCCTGGCTCGGGGAGGAAAGAGGGACACGCAGCCATCTGGGTGGGGCATTTCTGCTCACCAACCCCCGAGGCAGGAGCAGCTGTCTGGCCATCAGCGAGCGAGCTCTCAGGGCCATAAAACAGAGTTGGCTTTATTGGTCACCGACATGGGAGAAATTTGTCTCGCTCCCCAGGACCTCCGTCCCCATCACAGGGTCAAACTTCACGGCCAAAATCAATCCACTTGGCCGGCCTGCAAACCCCTCTGGACATGGAGCCCCAGTCGGCCGGTGACAAAGGGTTCTTGCATGGTTTCCTCGGACAGTCTCCCCAGGTGCTCTGGTCCAGTCCACTCCGGGTGGCCAGCAGGAGGCCTACCCCTGGCCCCTCTCGCCACTCTCGCTCAACCCCAGAGCCCTCTCAGAACTTCCACTGGCTCTCCCCATCCCTCTCTCAGCCAGTGTCAGGAAACCCCTCCGGCAAGGCTGGCTTCCCCTCGCAAGCTGCTGCGCATCGGCCCTGATGTCGTCCCCTTGGTCCAACAGCGCAACACCTCCCCCAGGGCCAGCCACGTCCCACCCCAAGACGGCACCTGGCAACACGCTCCTCCCCCAGGCTTGGGCTTGGGTCTGAGGCCCCAGCACCCAAGTCACGGTGGAAGAATCTGGAGAAGCTGGATAAAGGAAGTGGGCAGGACAATCTCCAGAACCTGGTGAGCCGTGAGAAGGCTAGCAGACTGGAGGCTTCAGAGAGCAGAACCAGAAATGCAGGAGTGCAGGGGTGGGGTGGGGTTGTCCTGGGGAAGGCTGCAGAAGGAATGGCCACCTGTGAGGGAATCGCTCGGACTCCTTGCTTGCAGCAGTCTGAGGGACACAGAATGTGTCCCGGTCCTGAAGCGGGCCGGGCAGGAGTCTGGAACTTTCTACAAAGTGTCCCGCTTGGGGTCTTTATCTCTATGTTTCACCAGCCCTTCCCCTTCTGCATGTTCTCTCTGCTTTTGAACATTCTACACTATGTACTTCTGGGCAACACTAAACCAGAAAGTCCTGGAAGTCGGCACTGTCGGAACGGTATCCCTGGCAACCACTCCAGGTGACCCTGCAGAAGCTGCAGCAGGACCAGATAGGCTCCATAATTCCCGGTTTAATGCCGTGGAATTGCCCAGAAGGCCGACAGAGCCAGATTCAGGCATCATTTGCCAGACGCCCTTTTTGGAAAGGCAGTTGTCTGCAGACATCAGGGGCCTCGGGTAGAAAATAAAACAGTTTTAGATTAGGAATAAGGTACATGGGAGGCAACAGGAGACCCCAGGCCCCGGGCCCCCCAGGTGAGAATACAAGACGTGCGAGGCACAGTGGTTGAAAGACTGCTACTGTCCAGCCATTTCACGGTCCAAACGACCGGCCAACCAGAAGGAACATGCTTCAGGCGTGATGGTGAGCTGCCAGACCCGCACCCAGACACCGAGTTCCTGAAGGAAGTGACACCCAGGTCTGGGGAGGGACCAGATGGGCCACTCCAGGACGGTGGGCGTCCCCCAGCCTTCCCTGTGTTTCCTGCTCCTTCATTTACACTTTGAGGTACTCGGAGGGAATGCAACCCCCCCCAATCACGGCCACCCCAAGAAGCCAAAGCTGAAACCCGCAAACCTGCCCACAAGGCCGGGTCCAGAGCGGTGAGCAATCACATCCGAGCCCTGCAGCCCGACACACAGGGGGGTCTGACCTGTCTACAAGTGCAGCCTGGACGCTAGAGAGGTACACCATCCGGCCCACCCCGTGTTCCTGCTGTAACACTGAGGCCAGAGGGCGAGAGGTCTCGCCAGCCCTGCGGAGGCCAGGCCTGAGCCCAAGCTGGTGGCAGAGCCGTCTTGGGGACACTGTGTGGCCCCAGACGTCAGGAGGCTTCTGCCTGCTTGGGTCACAACAGACTCGGGGGCCTAATATATTCCAGGGCTTGTGACGCCAGGCAGGTGGCGGGTGCTTGGGTGGGCGGAGGCCTCAGCCTGGCAGCCGGGCGGCTCTTGGGGCCGGACAGGGCTGGGTAATTAAAAGGAGAGGCGTCCTCTGCAGCCTGCACTGCTTGCGGGCCAAGGGACAGGCCACCGCCATTTTACTGACTCACCGGCCGGGGAGAGTCTTCTTGTCTGCCGGGGAAGATGCTATTAATAGTGTCATTTTCTTGGTGTTTTGTTTATTCCCCCGGACTGGCTTGATGGATGTGAATAATTACCAGACTATAAAAGCCAGCAAATGTGCTATTTTCTATCGCTCTAAATCATCAAACAAATAAAGTGTGAAACAGCATTTTTGAATATAATTTTCCCCTCTAATGGCTTAGAATTATTATCAAGAACAATGAAAATAAATAAGCAAATGCCTTGTGAGTTAAAAATTAAATGAGTGTGTCATGAAGAGGAACACAGACCATCTTGGAGAGCAGGGACCTGCTCAGGAGCCGTTAGTTACAATGATGATGAGCAGCAAGGCTTTGGGCCGTGCAGGCCCCCTTCCAGCCAGAGGCGTGAGTGCCCGCGGCCGCCTGGCCCGGGACGGAGTGGCAGGATGCCTTGGACGAGGGTACTGGGGTGCCTGCAGCATGGCCAGCTGACCCCCATCAGCCCCGGGATCCTGAGTGTTGTTGCCCCACACGGCCCCCATGGGGACAGCCACAGGGAACCTCAGAAAGGCTGCCGGGGGGGCGGCCTCTGCCTCTCCTCTCCCGGGCCATGGACCAGCGATGCCAGAGGGATTGCTGACTCTCAGACCACCAAGAAAACCCACGCTCATGGGGCAAAGGATGAGCAACGTGAGACTCCGGCGGAAGGAATCCCACCCACCCCCACGAAGCCCAGGGGCTGTGCCGGCGGGCCACCCCTCATCTTTTCGGACGTGCTGGCTGCCCCAGGCTTCAGGGCCCCGTTACAGGTGGACTCAGGTCCCTTGCCAGGAGAGCAGCACTTCCACGGTACGTTTTCCTGCCTGCTGCAAGGGTAACAAGACTTGCTGGGGGCAAGGCTCTCAAATCCCCAACCACCCTTCTCACGAGGCCCCTCAGCCCCTCCTGGGGCCCCCGCATGGAACTGTCTTGCTCGGAGTCAAGACGTGCAACACCGTGACACTTTTTTCCCCCCCAAGACTCATGCGACTCTCTGCTGGTGACAATCGCCAAGCCTGACAGCTTCCACTGTACGCGGCTCCCGGCGATCAGGTGCCATGATGAGAAGGCTCATCTCCCTGGCCTTCCTCTCTGTTGAAGAACACATGCCAAGAGCAGGGGTCCAGCCAGGAGCACTTTGGAAATGTCAGCTCAGCCTGACGCGTGTTGGAGGGTGAGGAAGCTAATTTCACACTGTGTGCACAAGGCCTGGGCAGACAGGCCCCTGGCCGTTTAACATGCTATAATTACGGAAACAGAAACAAGAAGGCAGAGGCTACTGGAAGTGCTGAGACCATGTGTCAAGTTGGAGACCACCTGGCATGAGCCAGCCGCCCACACAAGCCCAGGGCTCCCATGTGCTGGGCATGCAGAAAAGCCGTTATTGCTGCAATCTTCAAACACAAAGCCCCGTATCGGCCCATACAGCCAGCACCCGCTCTAGCCACACGTTGGCTGGACAGTTCCAGCACACGGCCCCGTGGTCTGGGCGGGCCAAGCAGAACGACCTAGTCAAGCAATGGGCTGCCCCACAAGCCTCCCAGCTGCCGGGGCACCATCTCTGAGCTGGTTAGTGGAGCAGGAGGGCCCAGAGAAACACAGTCACGAGTGGTCACCCCTCATCTGGTGACCACTGAGACAAGCCATATCAACTGGATCTACTGAAATGTCCAAGCACATCAGGTGACTTCTGTGTCCAGCATTTCATGCATGGCAGGTAAGTTATGCCTCGATAAATCTATTAACAAGGCCCCAGCCCTGTGGACATGGGAGCAATGAGTCAGTCCCTGCCCCAGTTTCTGGGCTCAGTGCCAGAGATGCACCTGGCCCTTCAGTGTCTTCTAGGCCTTGAACCAAGGCATCCACCAGGTTAATATGAGCCCGGTCAGGGGAACCAGAAACCTACAGATAACCCCTCTGGAAAAGGCACCAGGCCCTGGTGGTTTTACTGAGAGCACCAAAAAACCGTCACGCTAAAGGGCTGTGCCCACTTATGCACATGGTTACCAAACAGACAAGGAGATCAGATGCTACTGAACTCCTTCTATGAATCTGGCATATTTTTGAATGAATGAAGGAATGAATGAATGGGAAACCCTGTCACCAACACAGAACAAAGACACACAGGAAAATGATAGGCCAGTCTCACATAGCTGCAAAGTCCTAAGTAAAATCTTAGAAAATCAGACACCAAAGTGTATTATAAGACCAAGAGGGTCTTGTCATCCCCAGGGTTGCAAAAACAGTCCCACAAATAGAACTCTATGTAAAACAGCAAGCCATTCAGTATAAAAGTTCTTAGCCGGGTGCCTGGGTGGCTCAGTTGGTTAAGTGACTGCCTTCGGCTCAGGTCATGATCCTGGAGTCCTGGGATCGAGTCCCACGTCGGGCTCC